ATTTATTTGTGTTTCGTTGTATAAATAAAGTATTAATATGTCATTATTTATATATTAAATATTGATTTTATTATTTTTTATTTTTTATTTTTTTGTTTTTTTGTACAATAAACCTAATATTTATTTGTGTTTCGTTGTATAAATAAAGTATTAATATGTTATTATTTATATATTAAATATAAAATAATATATTTATTATATTTTTATTTTATATTCTAAGTGCACAATATAAAAAATTCCTTTTATTTATCCTGCAATTAATTATTTGTTTTGGTCGTCTGCGATGATGACATGGTCTATCCACCTCCACCAAAAATGTAAATGGCGAGTCCTTTTAACTTCCACAAAAGCCCTTATACACAGTTTTTTTTTCCATTGGGTTTTGTGTCATTTCCACCATTTTTATAAAGGCCCATCGCTGTGCTTAGACATTTTTGGCCCACCCTCTGGTCTCTGTTTTGCCATTTATGCCCTTTTAACAGTCCATTCTCTACGGACAAAGAGTCATTTCACGCAAATTAGCAAAAGGTTCTCTTGTAGCCGGCCTGTTCACTCGGCCCATGTCCGCTTCTGCCCTTTTTGCCCCTCATATCTGGATTTTTTCATCGGCCTTTTTCGTCATTTCACCCCGTGCTTTCGATTAAGAAAACGGCATTTGTTTCCTCATTTCCGAAAAAGTCCCTCATTCTTCAACTGTTGGATTGTCTCTTTTGGCAATTTCACCACCCTTTAGATGCTCCTTACAGTATTCCTAGACTGTTTTTGAACTACTTCTAGATTGTTCTCCACCGGCCGTTAGCGCTCCGTTTAGGGGTTTTTCTCTTCCAGCAATTCCCTTTGTTCCCCGCGTTTCCTAACGACCATTCGGCACGATGGGATTGAGAGAGGTGGCAAGCTGTGGGGAGAGGAAAAGATACGGAGACCAAGAAGAGGAGGTAGGTGACAAAAGAGGAGGAAAATTGTGTATCAGAGAAGAAAGGGGCGATCTACGACAACAACTAAGGAATCGGGGTGGAGTTGTAGGACGTTACGATTTCAATGGGTGACATGAGTGTGTGGCGGAGGCTGGCAGAGAGAATAGATTTTGGTAGAGCGTTGCCGAGAGAGGTGGTGATGGAGAAGAGACACAGGCTATGCCTATGCAAGAGCAACAGCGGAGAGAATCCTATATTATTTCATTGTAATGGTTGGTGATTTAGAAAAAAAATTCAATTCCATTTTTATGGGTTTGCTGTTAGATTCCATTGAATTAAGTGAGTGGGACAAATCTACTTCCAAAAAACTGTAAAGACAATTAATCCCTTAAATTATCAATCAATATAAATGTTTCATTATTTAATTACTGACATAATTACACTAAAAAAATCCGTTTGCTCGGGCTGACGTGGCTATTTTTTACACTGTGGCTGATGGGTCTCTTTCTTTTTTGTTTTTTAACCGATATTTCCTAATTTAACCTTCATATCCATTCAAATTTACGAAATTGTGCCATTCTTCAAACACATATCCTGGCTTATGTGTTTCTACTTTCTATTCCCATTTCCCCCACCTTGTTTTTGAGCTAGATCTACGAGCCTCAGTGATTCTTCCATGACTAGTCAAGCAAGCCAGCATAAGAGAAAATCTTAATGGGGAATAATTAAGAAAAAAAAAATGAAGAAGAAGAAACCTATGATATCTCACAGTTATGGTTATCAATGCTAGTAAATAATTTTGGACTAAAAACAATAAAATGAACTAAATTTTCTTGAGAAACAAGAGCAAATCTCTACAGAAACATAATTTTACGAAAATAAGAAATACCCAAATGAAAAAATTACCTCAGAACAATGAGAAATACCCAAATTTCTGGGTTTGCAACGGACCTCACCTATAATTGCTTCCATCACCTTTTACCAACCCAAAGTTCAAAACTCGCGAAAAGAATCA